AACGTAAGAAAGCACTCCTGAAAATCTTGAAAACTGAACATCTCCATTCAGTAGCAGGAAAAGAATTTTCCTAAAGACTGCACCAACATGCTAGAATGTTGCCTTGAGATGCACACAGTAACAGCATACAATCTTCTGAAAGAACATTTACATTGCTTTTTTAACACCAGCTCAGATGCTTGATTTTTACAGCCACACACATATGATTATATATATAAAACCAACATGTACTACTGCTTAAATCCAAAATGCAGTACATTCTTATGAGAGCTCCAAAGGATATTTACACAAAAGGGTGATTCTTGCATTCTTTACAAGAAAGGATGAGGCTAGCACAACCTCAACAGGCTTCCAGGTGAGTTGGACTGAACCAAGTCAGTTCTGGGAGGCACCTCCTAGAAAGGATGCACTGCAGAACACATGGATGTACCTTTTGCCCACCAGATCCACATAACCACTTCAAGTAAGCCTCATTAAATGGAGGAGAAAAATAACATTGCTGAGATTCTTGTTTTCAAAAGCAAAGAATATTAATATTTTAGGTCTATACTTCCAATACCAGCTCACTTCGCTTCAGGAACAGCATTCCTTCACAAAATTCTTTACGGCACTGTTCCTCCTCTCCAAATCTATCTTCAAGGTGCGATGCTGGGAAGTTAAAAAGAGCATCAGAAAACCTGAAAAAGCTTACCCAAACTTTAAACCTTGGTCTTGAAAAATTCTTCCATACTTCTCAACACAGGGATGAAAGGGATTTGCCTGAGCACTCCTACCTAAATGCTACCAATCCCTGAATCCTCAAGCTACGCAACTGCATCTTCAAAACACTCGGCACTCTCAAGCAAAACTGTCCCATTGAAAAAGCAAAACAGTTCATTAGAGCACTGCCGTCGTCCTCATAAAACACTTAATCTGATGTCAATTTGAGGGACAATACATTTCTCGTGCAAAGATCTGAGGGTCTTTTAAATCAAAATAATTCCTTTCAGATTTGGCTGTGACTCCCTTCCTTCCAGATGAGCCCAGCCAAGGACAACGGGTACAAAGGGCAATGAGACACCACCTAATCTAATTTAGCAAGAATAGAAACTGGCACTTGTGTGCAAGGCAGCACATGGCAATTGCTCATGTGACAGACGGCTTTGTGGCAGTGCTTTTTATTCACGTGCCCAGAGCTCTCCGCAGCAGGAAAAGACACACCTGCAAATGGGCCCCATCAGCTGGAACCCTTGCCAGCAGTTACAGCACCAAATAATCTCTTCCAGGACCCTAAGAGAGAAGCTGCAGTCTCCCTCCATCTTGCTCAGCCGCTGGATATGTAGCTAGAGCCATCTTTGCCTGAATCCTTCTCCCCAGACTACGGCTGATGGATCAGCACCTGCCCAGTCCTGGACTAGCCACAGTCAGAGCCACCACTCCTACTGCCCTGCAGGAGGGACAAGCAGAGGTGAGACCAGGAGTGCTGCAGAGAGGAGAGCACACCGAGGAACTGATGAGAAACAAAAAACACACAAATGATTCACAAATAGTGCGGCTGAGTCCCTGAACACAAGGCCATGGAAAACCATTCCATGAGACTCAATGTGCACAGAGCCATGAATTCTTTCACTTCACTTTTCAGATGATGATAACTCAGTATCAGATATGCAAAAATTATTTTTCCCTGCTACACCATAGTAAACATTTTTAAGCAAAGTAAAGCATAATTTTAAGCTAAGTGGTGAATCACTTTTTCGTACTTTCTTAAACGAGGCTTGAGCATATAACAACATCCTGATGGGCTGCTATTTGTTTAGAACAAAATCACAGGGGGAATCACATTCAAAAACAAGCATTCAGCACTAATTTTTTTAAAAAAAGACTGCAAATCAATCTGCTTCAAGTCACTGGAGAATCAATTTCAGAATAAAAGGTTCCTTTTAACTTTAGGCACTTTTCCCCAGTTTTACAGGTATATTGGTATCCACTAAGAATCCCAACAGATGGCTACCAAACTAGTTTGTGGTAACAAAGTTCTTGCTCTACAGACCCTACAACCTTCACACCTTCAGAATTACTGACATATTATTCAATTTCTACTTTGATGAAAGCTAAGAAACCATTCCTCCTGTAGCTATGTTTTTCTAAATTACAAAAAAAGAGGTTAAACTTAGATAACGAACAGACCATACTAAATTTATGTCAATACCTAAACATCTGCTAAGAGCAGTGTTTCTCAAAATGCAATCCACAAAGAGCAGGAAGCTTAGCTGCTGGCTTGCTTTTATTCACACCCGCCCAATTACATTAAAAAGAAAAGAAAATACTCGAAGTATTTTTCAAATATCAATTTCCTTGCAACCAGGAAGCTAGATTCACTAAACAACTGTTTCAAAAATCACGAGAGCTGACTTGCACAGCCATTAGCTAGACAGTCCCCAAGGCACAAGATCATGAAATGCAGCACAGGGCTCTTCTGAAGGTGCTAGAGGTAATAAAAAATGCTCATAATTTTCAAACACAGCAGCACACTCAAGTTTAAGTCCTTGACCAAGGAATTCTGAATTTATACACTGAATGATTTTAAATATGATAGATGGAAAAAAAGTCCACGTAAATGCTACAAGATAATAAAATGCTCTACTATGAAAAACATCTTCACCACAGCAATACCTGCACTTTTTCATTTCTCAGTTTGCTGCCGTCTGGAAGGAGAGGAGCACCATTTCACCCAATACTAAAAACATGCTTCACGTTGACCAAAATAATGTTATCTTTAAATCAGTTCATACCAGGAAGGTAATCTACAGAAAAGTATGTAGAAATGAAAACACTATCTTCAGAAAAAGATTTAAATACCATGTATGTGAGGCTTAGAGCTGCTGAATAGTAGAAAAGAAAACAAACAATTGCTTATTAACAGAGGATCAGCCTCTCTAATGAATGAGGCTAGGTTCCTACACAGTATCACTCACTGTACTTTTATAAAAGAGCTTAAAACCAACTTTAATTGTTTAATTCCCCAACTCTTGGTTACTTTCGTTGTCAATCAAGATACTCTCTTAGAAGCTTGTTCACATATTTAATGTCCTAATTGAGTAATAACTTTGTGCAGACATTCAAGAGCTAGACAGCAGGTTCATTTCTATATGGGACTCCTTACTCAAATTAGAATTATGTCAGCATTCAGAGATATAGGATATGGGCTCCCCAACCTTTCTCTGGAATAAGATAAATGAAATTATTTTGCCAAGGAAACAGTCCCTCACTAGCAGAACTCTTCTTAGAAGCGCTAGCAGTTCCTCATATTGAAGCATTGTATTTGACAACACCAGAGTCCCTCACCTCAAAACAATCTCTGCTTTTTGTTAGCAAATAAAATGTTGTCAATAAAGAGGTTGCCCTCCTGCTCAAGAGTGAGACTTCAGAGCAAACCTTAAGCATTAACTAGAGAAACATTGCAAATTGAAATTCTGGGTAGAAGCTCTTCAGCAGCAGTTTCTCAAAGCACAGAAAGATAAAGTTTCACACACAACTAAAAGCCTGCTATCCTCACAAGCGCCACTTCTTGCTGCATGGCCCCACCCCTCTAACATACCCCTGACTACTCAGTGAGCCAATTCGACTCAAGCATCTCCAGGTAAATTATGACTCTTCCCTGCCCCCACAGTTATTTCAGTTTTCTCCTAGAATAACAAACTCAGTCTGCTCACCAAAAGGTCAGACAAGTGTCAGGTCAGCACACGCGTGATGCTCCTATTATGTGAACTAACACCTTGCTGCTGCCTGCCTCATCCAGCAGCAACCTTCAAAAGACTAAATGTTAAAACAGCCCAATTTCCTCTCATAAGCAAATGGGTCTTCTCCAGGTCCATTATAAATTACAAGAAAACAAGCCCAACTGTGTCAAATGCTTATTAGCATTAGTTTGTATGTGTATTGGAACATACTTAAATGCAATTAGCTAGAAATAAGAGGAAAATTTAAGTCCACACAAATACCGTGCTCTATGAATACATCACTGAACTCCCATTCAATTAATTAATTAGTTCAATTTTTAATTTAGATGCAAAAACAGTAGAGTGCATACAGCTCCTATTCCCTTTGTGCATTTAAATGCAGCATTTCTGAAATTCAATCACATTTCCATCTCTGAGATGGAAAGAGAAAGTTATGTGACAATTCAAAACAGTTTCTGAGGAGATCAGTCTCTGAAACAATTTAAGACCAGTGCAAGAAGCAAGTGGAATTGAAAACCACAAAATTAATCTTCCCAAACCCAGAAGTGAGTTTCAAGATGCTGTCAAAACACTCACTCCCACCCCTTCGTCCCAAGCACATGATCAAAGTGACAGTCACAGTGGCATCCTCTGATCTTCTGCCATGAATTAACCAAACTATGCCTCGTAATTTTCACAGTGCTAAAGCCTGCTCATTAATTTCACCCGAGGAGGAGAAATCTCATCGGTTTCTCTAAATAAAAAAAAAAACAAAAACAAAACAACAACGCCTACTACCCTGACAGTCACACGCTCCGGACACGCACTCCTATAAACACTTCTGCATACTCTTGGGCGAGTGCAAGTTTATTTTCACAGCAAGCAGCATCTCCCCGGGCTCACACCGAACACCTCAGAGCCCGCAGGCGGGGGTGACACCAAACCCCACGCAGCCCCTGCCCTGTCCTGTGCCCCGAGCTGCCTGCACAGCCCCGGCTCCCTGCCGAGCCCCGGCCGCGCCTCCCGGGTGAAGCCCTCCCGCCCCCAGCTCCCCCTGCGAGTGCGGGAGCGGCGACGAAAAAAACGCTTCTTGTTTAGTTTTTGGTTTCCTTTTATTATTTTTTTTTTTCTTCAAAACGGGGCTCTTCTCTCGCCCTTTGTTGGCCAGGGAGGGGACAGGTTCGGCGTGTAGGGCCACATGCCGAGGGGCGCCCCCTCCCAGCAGCAGAGCCCCGGAGGGTTGGTTTCCCTTCCCCGGCCGCCGGGGCTGCGGGGCTCGCCCGCCGCCGCTCTCGCACCCACCTTTCTGCGCCTCGGTGCCCCGCAGCAGCAGCGAGAGGAGGAGGAGGAGGAGGAGGCTGGGGCGGAGCAGCGAGGCCGCCCGCCAGGTCCCCGCGGGGAGCGGCCGCCCCGGGCTCACCATGCCCCGCCGCGTGGCCGGCGCGCCCAGCGGTCCCAGGGCATCGCGGGCTGCGCGGCGGCCGCGCCGGGCCGCGTCTGAGCCCTGCGCGCCCTCCAGCCCGCCCGTCCCCCGCGGCCGCCCAACCGCTTCCGGGGGCACGGCGGGGCCGCCCCGTTTCCTGCCGCTCCTCCGCCGCGCACGGCCGGCCCCCGGCGCCGCGGAGCTCTGGGCGGCGGTGGCTGCGGCGGCTGAGGTGCGGCCCCGGCGAGCCGAGTGTGTGGACCCCTCCGCTCCCGCTCCGAGCCGCGCCCTCCCGAGCGGCCTGCGCGGGGCTCACGGCCCCGAGACCGGGAGCCAGTCCCTTGTCTGCGAGCTGGCTACGAGTATTTCACTTTTTTGAGCTTCCCCCCCCGCCCCCCCCAGGTAGAGATTAAGGCAGATTTCTGGGAAAAACTCAAAAGTCTTTGAAAACACGACCATTGCTGTTGTTAATAGAAAGGATAATTTGGTGTCATAGCACTCCACACACAATTGTGAATTTAGATGTGGAAGGGCCTGGCTATGAGGTCCTAAGCCATTGCAGCTTTAGCCTTTATCCCACAGCTTTTGAACACGCACCGTGTGTGATTGGAGAGCTTTCCTAAAGGCTGTAGTCAACCGCGGGAAAAAATACTTCAAAAAAAAACAAAACCCGGAACTTTCAAGTCTTAAAATCACGACATTTTAACCACTGTTAGGATCAAAGAATCACCTTTCTAATACCATTATTATTTTGGAAAGGAGCACTTTCTACGTGTTTTTCAGTGGTGGATGAAAATGCAATTTTCAGGTGCTGACAAAACGTCGTGTCCATGCTTCCACAGCTGCAGCCACAACCCAGATTCCTCCCATCAAGGTTTAAGGTTCAAGAAGAAGGGTGGGAGCCACACCTACACAGATATCATTTCACGTTTCTCTCAGCTTCATGATTGAAGCCCTCAGCACTCCACTGACCACGCTGTCTCTCACCACAAAGCAGAAGGGACTTGCGACTCCCCAGCTTCCAAAGATCAGCCTCTCAGCCAGTATAGGTTCATCCTTTCTGCTCTGGAAGAGCTGTTGCACGGCAATCGCCGGTGGCATCCAGATCCAGTGGTTGCACTGTAGAACGTGTCTTTTGGAAGAAATTGTTCTCTACTTCTCCCAAACAGCTCTATGAAACACATACTGCTTCTTGGCCAGGAGTGTCCAGTGCTGGCCCCATCAAAATGGCCTCGCCAAAAAAAAAATATATCACAGAATATTCCAGAATAGATTTGATTGCTCAGACTAAAGACAGCAAAATTTTGTTGCACTTTTTTTATTTGTTTGGCACATACTTGCGCCACAGCTCCTAGGAAGTGGCTTCTCATATAATTAGGGAATGATAAACATGAGGATTTTAGAACATTTCTTATTTTTCCCAGTTTTAAACATTTTAATGACATGGGAAGAGACCCCAATGAAAGCAAAGTCAATGGAAGTTTATCATAGATGAATCTTTTTAAAGTCATCTTGTAAGATGTAATAGCCACCAAGACATCTCGCAACACATAATGAAAGGTGAATCAAAAATAATTTACATGCATTGCTTTGTCTTCCACTCACCAGACACAGAAGTTCATGCCATCGATCACGTGAAGCAGTTCTATCACTAAAATAACATCCTTTCTGTACTACAAAGACCACATTCCTAAGATCACCAATCATTGATAGTATTTGTTGTGCACTGGAAAATCACTCCTTGAATAATTTGCAGCTTAGTGGTGCCATGCATTAAGAGGAGCATCTGAACTTCCTAAACGCAGTTCAGTAACAGTCTCTGGTGGACTTGACAGAGGTTTCCTCCTGTATTATGTTCTGTTGTCAAGGTATTTTGTGAACTTGATTTTACTATTCTAAACTGTTTATTTGTGCATGTAATGCATGCATTTCAGGAGTATCTGAATTTGTGAAAGGGTTGATTTCTAAATGGGGTGTGAAAACTTGCAGAATTCCTAAGAGCAGCCAGAGGCCAAATTTGCCTAATCCATCTTGGAAGTGTATCCCAAAGCTACATTGCCTGACCACAAATGGTTTATATGGACCCTAGCTTACATATTTTGCAAAGGGAACACCACCATCCTGACAGAAGCAATGTCAAACTATTAAACATTATGCACCTTAAAAGACTCAAAGATTTATAGAATCTACAGAGCCAAAGGATTACCAATGCAACTGTTTGAAAGGCTTGTCTTAATACATGGTTTTCATGTAATAGAAAAATCTGAAGAATTAGATAAATCCAGGTGGTGACTATGGCTTTCAGAATTTTCCTTCTGAGAAGATTCCAGCACAAAATGAGTTTAGGTACACCAGCTGCTGAGTACTGCATATTTTGGTCTGTGAGAGTTCCCAGGCAGCTCCTCTGGGGCAAAAAATTGTGTAAGAAAGACTCGATTTTAGTTTGTGACTTAGAACTGTCACTGTCATCAAATCAAAACAGATACAAAATTAAAATGCTGTGGGAAGCAAACACAAATATAATAACACATGATGCCAATCTCATAAGGCAAGTTGCCAATACCTCTTATGAAATCAGCACAAATACTGTTTTTTCAATATGGTAAGACAGGACACCAAAACAACTCCTCAGTGCTGATAGAAGAATGTTTAGCTAACTAAGCATTTCTATAATGTTTCCTTCCCGTTGTGAGTACCTTCTAGAGGTAAATGAAACTATCATCTCCATCTGGTTCTCTCATTTCCCTCAAGAAGCTTCTGAGTTCTGGGCTTCTTTCCCACCATAGTTCTCTAGATTTTACATTCTTTTGCTGCATTTCGAAAGCTGAATTCAGCTGGAGGGCAGAGAGAGCACCACAAGAGCAATTCCAAGTTCTTGCGTCCAGAAAGGAAAAGCCCCATGCAAGAGTACAGGCTGGGAGCTGTTTGGAAGCAGAAAGGGACCTTGGTGTCCTAGAGGACAGTTTCAATGTGTGTCAGCACTGTGCCCTTGCAGCCAAGGTGGCCAGCAGCATCTTGAGCTGTGTCAACGAGAGGGCCAGGGGAATGATCTTTCATAACACCTCCTCTCAGTACTGTGACTGGTTTGGGGCTCCCTCCAGTACAAGAGCAATACTGACACATGGAACAGAGTCAATTGAAGGGCCTCCAAAACAGTCAGGGGCTGGAGAACATGATGCACATGAAGAGGCTGATAGAGCTGGGTATTTTCAGCTCGGAGAAAAGGAGATCTTGTTGCTGCTTACAACTACCTGACTGCAAGACAGGACTGGAAAATGGAACCAGCCTCATCTCATAAGTGCACTATGATGGCACAAGAGCCAACAGACACAAATTGAAACACAGTAAATTCCATATTCTAGGTAGAAGGGAAAAAATATACCGTGAGGATGGTCAAACACTGGGTTGCTCAAAGATGTTGTAGAACCTCCATATTTAGAGATGTTCAGGACTCCCTTAGCTGTGATCAACTTGATCTGATGAGACCTGTTTGGGCAAAGAGTTGAACTGGATAACCCCTGAAGGTCCCTTCTGACCTGTTATGACTGCATGATTCTAAGGCACCAAGTGATGTTCTGTGGGTGAAAGTACTATAGTTCCAGGTGATATTCTAGAACCTAGCTTTTGTTGCTCTTGGCTACCTTTTTTCATCTCATTTGGGATTTCTGGGTTTTGTCATAGCTTTCAGTAAAAATTGTTGTTCTCCTCTCTTTGCTCTCATATTTTTTTTTCTGCAGTTTTTATTGCCTATTATGCTGATTATTTTTTAAGAATAACAACAAAGTCTCAGTTGCTGAATAGGTTTTAATTCATCCTTTTAGAAAGGAAAATGGATATTGATTATATATTACTTACATCAATGTACGTAATTAGTCTCATCCTCAGAAACACATTTATAAAGCCATGATATATTTACCTGAGGTTCATTATTAATTCACTTCAGATAGGAGCCTCAGGACTGTACATAAAGCACATTTATTGACATGCTAGAGTTATTTATTTGTTTGCTGAGTGGTTTGTGTTTTTAAAAGGAATAAACTTAACATTTAGTTCTGGATTATTTTAGTAAGAAACATCTGTTAATTTTACTGTGCTGAAAGTCATTATCTGGGGAAAACAGTAGCCTAATTTCCAGTAATTTTTTTTTTTTTTTTACATTTTTACTGCACTGTATATATGAAATAATTCAGGGATGCTGGTGATAAAAATAAGCTATTTTCTTTTCTATTTAAACACTGTAAGTAGAGAAGGAAAATATTAGGAAGGATCTCTTACTGTCTTCTACTCTCAAACAAGTTCATGTTTATTGTATCAATGCCCAGTACTACTAAGATCCTTCAAGCAAAACCAGAAAAATATTAAAGACTAGTGGTATTTTAAATCTGTGGGCTTTATTAATTTAAATAAAAGTAGTATTTCAAAGCATTGAGCAATTTAAATTCCCAGGATACAGGAATCCTGTGGCTCAGTTAAAGCTGAAGGAGGAGTCTAAGATTATTATAGGCTTAATTAAGCACTGAAGTAAAGGTAACATTTTAATCATGGCTTTAGCTTCTGTGGGAATTAAGAGCATACATAAGTCTGTATCTATTTTGCTTAATCAGGAACTATGAATCTTCTACTTCAATTATTTCCATACATTTGCTGTCTGTTTTAGAGTTAAGATACTGTTTTTATATTCTCTTCAATGTATTGCATTTTTGTCAGGATTTAGTTTTGTCTTTTAGCTTTTATTCTTATGGGCAAAGCCCAGGTTGAAACAATCTTGCATGACTTGCACCTGCTCCAAATTCTGTATCTTACCTATATTGTTCTAGTTTTCTCTGCCTGCATTCTTGTTTGTTATTATCTCTGAATTGATTTAGACACTGTGCCAGGTTGAATCATTATTTGATTTATACTGATTTCTGCTTCCAAATTGATTGACCAGTGGCAACTAGAAAAATTATAGGTGCTCCTGAAAATGCTCCTGAAATGCTGCAGCTCTTTACTGATACATT